TACCAGGCTTAAACAGACTCCTCAGTCAACTACTGATCAGGCCCTAAAGATACTCTTCTAACACCCTCTACTACCTGCCATGAACGCCAGGTCTGATAAATATAGGTGTCCGTACAGGACTTGAGGACCATGAATGAAGCAGTTCAGAACAACCATCCCATAGTACCCAGTCCCTATATCTTGTCTAATTTGCCAGGGGATAACAGGTATTATACTGTTCTAGACTTAAAAGATGCATTCTTAGGGCCAGTGCTGTGGCACAGTGGGTAAAGCTACCACCTACAGTGCCAGCATCTCATATGGGCACTGGTTTGAGACCCAGCTGCTCCACTTCTGATCCCGCTCTCTGCCATGGCCTGGGAAAGCTGTAGAAAATGGCCCAAGTCCTTATGCCCATTCAACCATGTGGGAGACCCAGAAGAAGCTCCTGGCTCCTGGCTTAGAATCGGCTCAGCTCTGGCCATTGCAGCCAACTGGGGAGTGAACCAGCAGACGGAAGACCTCTCTCTCTCTCTACCTCTCCTCTCTCTGTGTAACTCTGACTTTCAAATAAATAAATAAATCTTTAAAACAAAATGTATTCTCTTGTATTCTCCTAGAACTGAAATCTCAAAAGCTATCTGTCTTTGAGCATCAAGACTCAAAAGTTCATCAGAAGTTGCAATATTGTTGCACTGTTCTGCCACAGGTTTAAAATTTCTTCTACAATTTTTTGAGGAAGTTTTGAGTAAAGACCTGAGGGGAATACAGTAAGAAAAGGAGAAAGGATGCCATTCTTATGGCTAGCCCCTCAAAACTGCTTCTGCTGAAAGCATCATGCAAATCCTGAGTTATCTGGCAGAGAAGCGATATAAAATACCAAATGAAAAAGCACATGGGTATGCATTTGGCATGGTGATTAAAACACTGCTTGGGACACCTGCATCCCATATCTGTGTGCCTCGTTCAATTACTAGCTATTATGTTTGCTATTACAGCTTCTTGCTAATGCTCACCCTGGGAGGCAACAGGTAATGGCCCAAGTACTTGGTTCCCTGTCACCTGTGTGGGAGATGTGGATTGAGTTCCTGACTCCCGGCTTTCAGCCTGGCCCAACCCTTGCTGTTGCAGGCATTTAGGGCCAAGAACCAGTGAATGGAAGATCTATCTCTGTTTCTCTAGGCATGTCAAATAAATAAAAAGTATTTTCTAAACTGGTAAAGATTTTAAAAATGTTTAAGAAAGAAAAAGCACATATTTTCAAGGAAATTTTAAAGTATTTAGGGTTTAAAACATCCAAAGGACAGCAAAGCCTTCCCAAGGCTGCAATTGGGCAATCTGTAACTTGGCTCAGTCCAAGACCAGAAAACAATTACAGGGACTCCTGAGACTAGCCAGCTTCTGCTGCATTTGGATATCTAGCTGTGGTCTAATAGCAAAACCACTTTATGTTAAAAGGAAAGGAAAAATGACCTCTGTGAGTGGGATAAACAATGCCATCAGGCCTTTATAAAGCTAAAAGAACTCTTGTCAGAAGTCCCCACCCACTTTGGGACTGCCTGAACTAAAAAAGCTCTCCAACCTGTGTGTCTATATACCTGCAAAACAAGTGGGGATCATGACCCAAATGTTGGACCATTAATACAAGTAAATTTTGTTTTCCAAAAACGTTAAATACAGTGTTCTGAGGATGGCCACTCTGCCTATGGGCAGTTGTAGCCACCTTTTTGCTAATTAGAGAGGCAGAAAAGCTAACTAGGGGACTGCCCCTATCTAGACGCCACTACAAGTGACAAACATTTTAGAAACAAATGAGCAACATTAGTTGATTGGTGGCTGAATGCTGCAGATACTCCAAAGCACCCTAAAATCCTATCAGACTCTGAATCCTCCACACTGCCGCCAGTGTCTCAGGACCCCTAGCACACGACTGCTCTGAAGTGACAGACCTAGTGTACTCAAGCAGGACAGATTGCAAGAGAAACATGATGCATAGATGGCAGCAGTTTTCTGGTAAGTGGTCAGTGGAGTACAGTATATGCAGCTGTGTCTTTACATGGAACTGCTGAAGCTAAGAGTTTCCTTCCAGGGATGTCTGTACAGAAAGGCAGAGATAATAGCCCTGACTAGGGCACTAGAACTTACACTGGCTTCAGGCATGCTTTCTCAGTGGTCCACGCTGATGGGACCATCTGGAAAGAAAAAAGACTCTTAAATGCTAACAACGAAGCAATTAAATATGATTTAGAAAATTTCAGACTGCTACCAGCTATAGAAAACACTAAAGAAATAGCTGTTGGGGCCAGCGCTCTAGCATGGCAGGTAAAGCCGCCGCCTGCAGTGCCGGCTGCTCCACTTGTGATCCAGCTCTCTGCCATGGGCTGCCAGAATAGTAGAGGATAGCCCAGGTGCTTGGGCCCCTGCACTCCAGGGTGGGAAACTAGAAAAGGTTGCTGGTTCCTGGCTTCGGATCAGCTCAGTTCTGGCCATTGCAGCCATCTGGGTAGTGAACCAGTGGACGAAAGACCTTTCTCTCTGTCTCTCCCTCTCTCTGTCTGCAACTCTACTCTCAAATAAATAATTTTTAAAAAAGAAGGAAATAGCTGTTTTACACTGTAGAGGACAGCAAACAGGAGATTCTGAAGTAATAAAAGGAACAACTTAGCCAATGCTGCAGCAAAGTGAACAGCCTTGACAGAGGAGATTCTCCAATCACTACTCACATCTTCCCCGACCCATTGTAAGCCTCAGCCTAAGTACTCTCCAGCAGACTCACAGAAAGCTTTGAAAGAAAGGATTCCCGTCTCGGAGGGATGGATGGTAACAAAAGAGGAAAAGTGTAGATACCCCCCGGACCTAGGTTTGGCACTCTTAAGTATGTCCATGATTCTACTAATTACGACAAACAGACAATGTGTAATGACAACCCCAGGGATGAAGAAATGTGTAGCTAAAATTTCTCCCATATTTAGTTTGGCAATCCATGCTTTGTTACTATAATTTTTTAAAATATTTATTTATTTAGTTGAAAGTCAAGAGTTATACAGAGAGAGAAGGAGAGGCAGAGAGAGAGAGAGAGAGACATCTTCTATCCACTGGTTCACTCCCCAATTGACCACAACAGCCAGAGCTGCCCTGATCCAAAGCCAGGAGCCAGGAGCATCCTCTGGGTCTTCCCACGTGGGTGCAGGGGCCCAAGGACTTAGGCCATCTTCTACTGCTTTCCCAGGCCATAGCAGAGAGCTGGATCAGAAGTGGAGCAGGAGCTGGCGCTATGGCTTAACGGGTAAAGCTGCCGCCTGCAGTGCCAGCATCCCATATGGGCACCGGTTTGAGCCCTGGCTGCTCCATTTCTGATCTCTCTCTCTCTCTCTACCTCTCTTTCTCTCTGTGTAACTCTGATTTTCAAGTAAATAAATAAATCTAAAAAAAAAAAAGAAGAAGAAGTGGCACAGCCGGGACTTGAACCAGCGCCCATATGGGATGCTGGCACTTCAGGAGGCAGCTTTGCCCCCTATACCACAGCACTGGTCCCAATAGTATAATTTTTAAAATACTGTCACTGATAGGTGTGTCACCACTGATAGGGGTGACACCAAGTAGTCAACTTCAAGCATGAGTTACTTATAAGTAAGCTTTTACTTACTTGTGAAAATGGAAGTTGAAAGATACAGTTCCTGAAAAGAACCGCCTCCATAAGTAATTTGCTAGGGCTTTTACAGCAAGAAGTAGGGGAGTGTACAAGATGCAGAAGAGAAGGGAGAGGCACCAGTGTTGTGGCATAGTGGGTTAAGCTGCTGCCTGCCACAACAACATCCCATATGAGCGACGGTTCAAGTCCCAGCTGCTCCACTTCCATTCTAACTTTCTGCTAATTTACCTGGGGAAGCAGCAGAAAATGGCCCAAGTACTTGGGCCCTTGCAGCCACATGGGAGACCTGGATGAAGCTCCTGGCTCCTGCATTTGGCCTGGCCCAGCCCCAAATGTTACAGTCATTTGGGGAGTGCATCAGCAGATGGAAGCTTTCTCTCTCTTTCTTCTTGCTCTAACTCTCTCTGTGTCTCTCCTTCTCTCTGTAACTCTGCCTTTCAAATAAACAAATAAATCTGATATTAAAAAAATAAAAAATATGAAAGAAAACAGGGGAGAGGGTACTTCTTAAGCACACATCTGTCTGAGGACAGGTATGAACTAATAGGGAAGCGATAGCATAGAAACCATGAAAAATTGTTTATTAACAATATTCAACAAATTCATATACATACAAATTCCATACATATATCTGAAAGGTGTTTTGTGGCAGCCTTACAAAAGGGCTTAAAGTAGTGCCTGTCATACAGTAACTGCATAGAAATGATGTAGGTAAAACTGTGTTAAGAGAAAAACTTAAAAATCTAGCATCAGGGGCCAGTACTGTGGTGCAGTGGGTTAAAGCCCTGGCCTAAAACGCTGGCATCCCATATGAGCACCGGTTCTAGTCCCAGCTGCTCCTCTTCCAATCCAGCTCTCTGCTATGGCCTGGGAAAGCAGTGGAAGATGCTCAAGTCCTTGGGGCCCTGCACCCACGTTGGAGACCCGGAAGAAGCTCCTGGCTCTGGATCGGTGCAGCTATGGCCATTGCGGCCATCTGGGGAGTGAACCAGTGGATGGAAGACCTCTCTCTCTGTATCTACCTCTCTCTGTAACTCTTAAAATAAACAAAATAAATCTTTAAAAAAATCTAGCATCATATTATGGACATTTCTGAAGCTTTCTTTTAGTAGGGATCCAAATGACCTTGTCAAATGCTATACTGTAATTGACCCATCTGTCTTGTTTCATAGGAACAAATACTCCTTGCACTAAATGGAATTCTGTAAGTCTGCCCATTGTGATTATTCTCCCTCCTACTCTACCAATTTATTGCAAATCCTGTGACCAAAATAAGTATAAAAGCTCTGAATTCACTCCTCTGGATGTCTGGGTTATCTGTTGAAATGCTCCTGATGTTATGCTATAATAACACAATCTAGTATCATACCTTTTGGATTTCTTCAGGTAAGGCATGCAAGGGAATATGACGATCCATAATTTCCAAAAATATTCTGGGGAAGCTCTGAGGCAAAAGAACCTGAAAACATTGATGATTGCCATCAGAAATGAGATACCATGAAGAAAACTCAAATAAAATCATTTATTAGTTCTTAGGAGTATTTGGGGATGAATGCGTGTAACTGTTTCAACAGATGTTTGGCTGTTAGAAGGTACAACAGAGGTCTTCTCAGTTATTAGGCCAATAGAACAAGAAAGAGTTATAGAGATTGCTGAGTTAAATAAGGTATTTTCTCTTTTGTTAGAATTGTACAGAATAAAAGTAATTGTTGGTGCGACTAATTATTTGTTTTACATATACAGAATAACTGTAAAAATTTAAATAGACTCATCTATTACAGTCCCTTTAAAAAAAAGAAAAACTTCTTCCTGAAAAGCTACTAGGAAAAATATCTAAATATAGTATTTTAGTTCAGCAGATAAGCAAAGCAGTTATGGCATGAATGCTTGTTTAAACGATATACAGGAAATAAGAAGGGTTACCAGATTAAGTATGATATGCAGGCATTGGAGAGTCATCAATGCATCAGAAGGCAAGGACCAAGTTTATATAAGATGAACATTTATATAATTTTATGTATTCTAATAGATCTTCATTTCTTAGTAAAAGCAACTCAATTAGAAAACTCTAGTATTATGTAAGTTTTCATAAAACCATGGAAAATGGGGGAGCACTTTCAGTTGTTTGTTTTAACCCTCCCCAAAAATGGAGAAAGAATAGACAATCCAGTTTCCTGAGTACAGCATGAATATGTGTATCTAAGGAGCTGGGGGAGGGGAGGGGCAGCAGGGTCAGATGACACAGGCCTAACTTCTTAGCAAGGAAGAAGGCCTGAGGGCCATGAGTTATTGTAGGCAAGAACCATCTAGGAGTTCAGAAAAGGAAAATGTCTTCTATTTTGTATGTGGGTGGGGAGTTAGTGAAAGCCTCTTGGTCTATGCTTGATCAGGACAGATTTTGACAAATGAAGAGTAAAGAGGCATACAACTCTATCATAGAAAGCAACTCCAGCCACAGCAAGGGGACAGGGAAATTGTAGTTGACAAACATTCCTGTCTGTAGTGGCACTCTATTTTTGCAATTGCACAACCACTGGAGGAAGGGAGAATGCCTCATTCCCTGTGTTAGTACAAAGATTCCTCATTCAATGAGGTGCTGTTCAACACAACTGGTAGCTTTGGAATCTGCAAGGAGGAAGGCTTGGGAATTGAGAAGTCCCTATCTGTACTTGCGGGGAAGAAAAGTCCTGGTCAAGGTCCCTGCAGGTGCCTAAAGGTCAACCAATGAGGATCAGACCTGCCTCAACCTTTAACCCCCATGCCCTGAATCTATAAAAGGAGCTCTCCCAATCTCTGATGCATGACTTCGCCGGCCCCCGCTCTGTTGCTCTGTTGGGACCAGGGAACCTCGCCCAGGAGCGGAACCCCAATAAAAGCCTGTGAATTAATTGATTCGTCTGCCTGGGAAGATTTGTTATGCGCCGGACACCTTGCAATAACTAATAGGCTGTCTCATCCCATAACACAATGTGGGGTGTGTGTTTTCAGTAGTCATCCTGACACGTGTCCAGACAGCCAAGAACATAATCTGATGTTTGGGAGGTTGTCACAGTCATGTGGCAAGAGCTCAGAAGGTTCATTTCTGGCATTTTAAGGTGGATTTCCCATCAGTAAAATAAAATGGTACCAACTTCAATTCTATTGGGAGTTCTTTTCTTAACATTACCAACCAAATCGAAAAGCTCATCTATTTACTTTTATTTAAAAGACAAGAGATTTCCTATCTGGGATTTCACTCCCCCAAATGCCCACAACAGCTGAGGCTGGGCCAAGCCAAAGCCAGGAGCTAGGTGCTCAATCCAGGTGTCCCATTTGGGTGGCAGGGACCCAACTGTGTTAATTCATCAGCTGTGTAGGGTCTATATTAGCAGGAGAGAGGAAGCTAGAATCTTGGAGTGGAACCAGTCCTCAAACCCAGGCACTCAAGGATGGACTGTGGACATCCCAGGTGTGGTCCTAACTGCTGGGCCTAATACCATCCTCCACATCCCCCTTTAAAAGTTTCATCTAGAAAAGTATTTGAGAACACACAATCCGAGCAATAGTATAAACTAAGGTATTAGTGGAACTGTTTTATTCAGTATCTTTACAGAGAATCTATACCAACTTACGACATTTACTATACCAAGGGGGGGAATTAGCACATTCTGATTATTCAGGATAAATCAAAAATAAAATTTCCTGCCAGCCCAGAAAACTCTCCACAATGCAGAAGGAAAGCACATTTATTCTTAAGATTTTAGACTTGAACGTACATCACTGCCTATCTGCTACTGAGATTCCAAAGAAAACCCACTCTTTTTCTACAGTAAGGAAACACATGTATCAGTTACAGGTCCTTAAGAAAAGTGGTAATTTGTCCTCATAGAAGAAAATTCAACACAGTTTGCTATCCATTCTTTTAGCGTCCATCTGAAATTTACCTGGTGGTTGGGGGTAGCCTTTTGTCCTAGCTAACTGCCTCCATCCTAAGGAATCAGGTGGTTGCAGCTGGGGAGTAAAGCACCTAAACTCTCAAGGTGACAGGGAGATAGGGCCACTATCATTCCTGATGATTACATTTCAAAGAAATAGCTTCCGGGCCCACCAGAAATGCATTCCTGGGTCTTCAAAGATACACTACAAATGAAAGGAGAGAAAGCTTTCACAAAATACTAGGTTTCTCAAGGAAAGAAAGGGTTCTCTTTCCCCTTTGGTAACGGAGGAAATGTGTAATTTTAAATATACTCTCATTAAGTTGACATTAGTTTGCGTGTTTTTACGACTTTCACACCACGCTTGTGTAGCCTGCCCTCTGGCAAGAGGAGCGGAGGTAAGTGGCCGAAGCTACGAAGGTGTTTGTGAACCTGCTCTCTAACAAGATCACGAGAAAGATATTTTAAAAATGCAGAAACGTTCTTGTTCGCTCATATCCGACTCACTTCCGCACACCAGTGTCACGCTGGGCCACGAACTCACGTTCAGCTTTCAGGCTGAACCATTCCCACAGAGTGAGTCACCCACAACGGGCGGGTCAAGGGCAGGTGAAGCGGGAGTGCACGGCCTAAGACTTTCCTGAAGCGGCGGGATTTTCCAAATAGAAACCAACTGTAAGGCCAGACAAAACTACGGGAAAGGGCTTTGAAATCTGTCCCGCGCTAACCCCGTTCCCTCGGGACCGGCTCGGCCGGAAGGGAAGGGGGGGAGGAGGAGGAGAGGAGGAGAGGGGGGCGGGGGCGAGGAGGCAGAACCGCTCTTTCACTGAGGCAGTCAGTGCCTGGGCCCGACGGGCTCCAGGAGACCCGCAGGGGCCGCGGAGAAGCGCGGCGGCGGAGGCAGGCGCCAGGCCCCACGCCCTGAGGCGGCGCCGCGGCTCATTTTTCTCCCCAGGTGCGAGGACGCCTCCGCTCCGGAACTGAGTCCCGGGTCATCCAGGGCCAAAGGGAAGCCATTGTCTCTCACCTAGACCTCGCCTCCGCCGGGTGCGAAACGGCTTTCCCCGTCTCCCGGGCGACCGGCGCTGCACGTCGGCCTGACGTCAGGGCGCGGTGACGTCATGGCCCACGCCTCTCGCCGACGCGGAACAGCGCTCCCCTACACTGCACTAGCGGAAGTGGGAGAGCTTGGTGGCGGGGTTCCGAGGAAAGAACTCTGCTTACGCTGAGTGCCGTAAGAGGGAGGGAAGGGGAGCTGGGGCGGCGAGGTGGGGGAGGGCAGAAGGCTTGGTAAAGGCTGCGGAGGTGGAGGGAGACGTCACAACCCTGCAGGGCGCTGGAGAGAGGCGCTGCCCCGCGCGCCGAGTCCTGGTCCTACCTCCCATCCCTGCCAACACAGTAGTGGGCAGTAACTGATCTTGAGCGGTGACAGAGATGAGGTCATGGGTGTAAAAGGAAGCACTGGTTTCACTCATTACAACAAGTACAAAGTACTTGGAAAGCTTTGGTAAGATTTTCATCCTTCTTCAAAAATAATCAAAATGAAGTACTTAGTTCACTTACACATAACTGACTTTCATTCATTCATTCATTCATTCATTCATAAAACAAGTATTAACTGATGATGTACTGCGCCACAAGCACCGCATACCAGCATACGGTGAGGATCTGTGACTAACCCAGACAGAAACAGCCCTTGTGACTCATTCCGAATCCAGATCTCTCGCTTGTGAGGATTGTATAAGGTCCAAAATGCGGGAACCAAAGGAAACATTCATGGCTCCCTCACAGGGAAAGACTCATTACCACTGAATAAAATGAGATTGAATATGAAGACAGTTAATGAAACCCTTCGTTGTGGAGACGTGATTAAATGATGCAGAGCAGTACTGGTACAATACTCAAACTGCCAACTGAGGGCTGTTTGTTAATGAATATGACAACGTGATGTATTTCCTAAAGCCTGTGTTCAGGGCAGTACTACTCTGGGAGCTAGATGTGCCCTGTACACGTAAACTGACGTTTTTGCTGTGCCACCCACTGTTGATTTTCTGTTCCCAGCCTCTAAAGAAGGTTCCTCATCTGAGAAAGAGAAGCAGTACTCAAAGGATTGAACAAATGACTAAGCAGTACAGAGGACAGTCAACCCAGTGGGCAAGTACAGCATGCTTATGAGAACTTTCAGAACTACTCATCTTCATCTGTCTCCTTGAGGGTCAGTGAAGGCAGGATTGTTCTCATTTTGTAACAATGGGGGTTTTAGATACAGGACAAATACAGATGATCTAAATATGTTGAGTGCCTTATCTGTAACGGGAATTGCACACCTAAAGCAAGATCACTCTGTTCTGAGGCTAGTTTGCTTGTACAGTCAGGCATTGCTTAACAACGGGGAGAATTCATTGTGTGAGCATCATAGAGTATACTTACACAAACGTCGGCGCCATAGCCTGCTGTGCACATAGGCTATATGGTGTATATATAGTATGGCCTATTGCTCCTAGGGCCGTGATGAACAAAACAACATGAGTTTAAATCAGGCACCAGAGAAAGTGGTGCAAGCAAGAGATGTGTAAGGCAGCTGCAGATTAACACAGCGTACTACTGTTTACGAGAAGCTTTTGCAGTAAGTAGAAGGAGTACACAGTAAAATAATGATAGAGTATAATAACTACATTAACAGGAACATAGTCGCTTACCAGCATTATCAGTAACTGCATATGTACTGTTCACACCTGTACGTGCTGTAGTACAGGACTGGCCACACAGGTCTGTTTATACCAGCATCACCACAAACATGAGTGGTCCATGCCCCAACAGGAATTTTTCAACTCCATTATAATCTCACGGACTGCTGTTGTCTATGCAGTCTGTCAATGAAATGCTGTTATGTGATGTGCGACTGTATTATTAGCAATAATAGTACTTTGTGTGGATCAGGCATGGGGAAATCTTTATTCTGCCAAGGACCATTTGGATACTTATGATATCATTTGTGGGCCATACAAAAATTATCAGCTTAAAAATTAGCCTGCTATAGATTTATTGAATTTTGAATCCTACCCAAGGTTGCCTTGGCACCAAGGGCTAGACCAAATGATTTGGAGGGCCTTATACAGCCCGCAGGCCATATATTCCCTTCCCCTGGTATATATGATAAGGAAAGGCAACACTTTTAGAATTGGGGGAATATCAGCTGAAAGGCTGTGATTCACTTTGTGGTTTAATTTCATCTGTGTTTTTTCATGGACACTTTGCCTTGAGACCATTTTGATTTCCACTGTAAATGGCTCTTAGACCAGCACTGTCCGATCAGATAGTCATTTACAACTATTTAGTTAAAGTGAAATACATTTTAAAATTCCATTGTTACATTGCACTGCCTTATTTCAAGTGCTCAGCAGTCACATGTGGCTATTGTATAGGCACAGATGCAGAACATTTTCGTCATCGTAGAAAGTTGTCTTAGCAATAGAGTCACTAAGAATTTCAAGGGAAAAGAGAGTTGATAAGTTGCAAAGAATAGCCTTTTTAAAAGGATTGCAGTGAAAAGTGTTAATTCCTAAAGAAGACAGCACAGATGAAATGTGACAGGGTGTTACACAATAGGTTAAATCTGCCCTCCCATTGCATCTTGTCTATATTGGTTCTATATTGGTCTTAGTATCTTCCTCTATCTCTTTCCAGGTTTTCCTCTTGCTCTATCACCCTCTACCCTCTCCCTTTCCCCACCCCATTAGTGGCCACGCTGAGGCCTCGTATAATGAAAATATTCCCATCTTTGGGCACACTGAATAAAATTTTGTATAATCCTGTTAATTTTAAAATAATCTAAGTTGCATTTGTTGTAACTTTTAATAATCCAGTAAAAACCAAGTTAATTTTTTAAAACTTTTTTTGTGACTCTTTATTATTTTCCCCTGTGCGTCGATGACCTCTGGAGGAAAAATGCTGTCTATTTAATAGAGTAGAATCTCTATAAAGGACTAAAGGAAGGCTTCCTATTTTGATCTTCAGACATTTGTGTTGGTTTATGAGAACAGAGTGTCTGCTTCTGTTACTGTTATGAATTTGCCTTAGGTATTCATCCAGCAGACCATTGTCATTCATCCCCCTTCAGCTGGGTGGATAACTTTATGCTATCTCCCCTCCTCTTAGCCCACCCCCTTAAGAAAAGCAGGTAGGGGCCAGCGCTGTGGCACAGTAGGTTACTCCTCCGCCTGTGATGTGGGCATCCCATATGGATGCCAGGTCTAATCCCGGCTGCTCCTCTTCTAATCCAGCTCTCTGCTGTGACCTGGGAAAGCACTGGAAGATGGCCCAAATGCTTGGGCCCCTGTACCCTTATGGGAGACCCAGAAAAAGCTCCTGGTTCCTGGCTGTAGATTGGTACAGCTCCAACCAATGCAGCCATTTGGAGAGTGAACCAGCTGAAGGAAGACCTTTCTCTCGCTATCTGTAACTCTACCTCTCAAATAAATAAATAAATAAAATCTTTAACAAAAAAAAAAAAAAAAGAAGAAGCAGGTTAAAAGAATAGGTATTTTGTCTGCAAGTCTGGTAAAACTATCAGAAGGTCTACCTAACATTGCTAATTTTAAAGTGAGCTAGAACTATAAAAGGAGAGCTTAGCCCGACTTTTATTTCCATCCTGTGAACCAGAATATATTACCTCTGTATCCCTTTAGAAGTTGGTTGCAAACAGGCCTCCCAGGCTGGAGCAACCACAGCTTTCACTACTATTTCTGGGTTCCATCCAATGCAAGAGCAGAATTTTTTAAAAAGCCAGCATTTATTGGTCTCCTTCTATTTGCCAGGTACTTCAAACACAGCGTCTTGCTTAATTGAGAACCCTTCCAAATATAACTCAGTCAGATCCTACTAACTGTTTACTTTCACGCAAAATAGTGGAAATAGCCAAGGACGTGGCCCAACATGAGAGCACAAAAGTGTACTTGGACTGAATGTGAGTATAAGCAGGAGCACCTGGGCCTCACATAGCCAGTACTCACAGGGCATCAGCCTACTGTGGATTACTATCATTGAAATATCCAAAAAGTATTTAATTCTATAAATGTAACTTTTTCTTAGACTTACTTTCTTCATACCTTTTCTGATACAGCTTCTGGTTTTGAAAATAGTTTAGCTACTAAGAACCATTTGGCTTTTTTTCACTTGTGTCAACACATTTCTTCCCACCAAGAGGATTTTCTTTCCCCATATAGTTTTTTTTTCCTTAACTGTTATCAACATTTGCAGTTATAGACTGCTTTGTAAGTCTGCTTTGCATATTTTGAACCCCAAATAACTCTGGTCTAGAGGTGGCTTAGACCACAAAATACTATTTGTGGGTTTATGCATTGTTCCTTTTTTAATCTGTCATATGTTCAGTGTAAACTTCAGAACCTAATAAAATAAAGGTCACAGTGGTTCAATAGCATATTTCTCCAGGAGTTTAGATCTCTAGACATCTGTGCAGAAACAAATTGTTACCTTATTCTTTTTAGCCCTGAGCATATGATTATTGAACAAAACTTCCAATGAAAAATGTGTACTCTCAGATGTTAAGTCACACCACAGCAAAATCTTTGAAGATTTTAAATATATTTCCTTGTGGCCTTTTGGCTACTGATAACATCTGTATCCAAAAATGTACTGTGTGCCAAATTGTATAGTTTAATATGTGTTACGCTGATATATATTTAAAACACAAAAGGACTAAAGTTCTAATAGCACTAATAATACTCTTGTAATGAGTCTGATATTAAAAACTATGGCACTAATAACTCTTTATGAGATTAATCTGTAATATAAACAACCCAAATTCCTTTCATTAAACGTTCAGCATCTGGCCTATAGGAAGTAATTAATTCAAAGATGAGAATTTATAATTTTCTTAACAGAATTAAAAACAATTTTTGTAGAATTAAGTATTTGCTTGTTTGATTAAACAAGCTTCTTTAGTTCCATAGTCATCTAATGAGGAATCTTAAGAATCTCACATTTGTTTTGGCAAATGATTGGTAGAATTGATTTCATTCTACATTTGTGGAGATAAAAGTCATGTTTCTGTACCTATAATTTTAGGTAGTTACTGGATTTATAAGAAACAAAGAATAGTAGTTTTTCTATTAATAGGAAGCTTTAATGCCATTAAATAATGAATTGAAAATCATCAGAAAGGTATGTTACAGAATATTGATGTAATGATACCAAATTATCAGATGCAAATATTATTAAAATAATAGGCTTAAAATAATTAAAATTATGGTAGGCTTGTTCATAAAGGTATAGAGCAAATAGTAGTCTCAAACATTACTGTTAGGATAAAAACAATACATTGATTATGTTTTAAACTTATTAAAATGTTCATAACTACTGTAATGACACTTGATTGCCTTTATTCTTTGTGTTCAGGAATCCAGACCTCTTCACCTCTACCCTCTGCTGTATTCCCCAACCACAAGTGAATCAGCACAAATCCTGGAGTTCAGATAAGGTCAATTCTGCTTCACTTCCTTCCTCTTTGCAGTGATTAAATCAGAAATGAGTCTATGGGGCAGGTGTTGTGGTGTAGAGGGTTAGCCTGCTGCATACAACGCCCACATCCCACGGCAGAGTGCCAGTTCAAGTCCTGGCTTCTCTACTTCCAATCCAGTTTCCTGCTACTACACTTGGAAAGGCAACAGATGATGACCCCAAGTACTTGGGTCCCTGCCACCTACATGAGAGACCCAGATGGAGTTCCAGGCTCCTGCTTTGGCCTAGCACAGCTCCTGTTTTTGCAGGCATTTAGGGAGTGAGCCCACAGATAGAAGATCTCTTTCCCTCTGTTTCTCTCTCTCTCTCTCTCTCTCTCTCTCTCCCCTGTTTGTGTAAGACTCTGCTTTTCAAATAAATGTTAGAAAGGAGCTTATGTCCCAATTCTGACCAAAGAGACTCCAAGAGAATGATACTGGAAGCAATGGGAAATTTATTTCTTACTACCACACATATTCAGTGTTTAAAAACTGAGAAATACCAAAATGTGAGATAAGTTGATTTATTCAAACCAGATTGCGCAGCTGTTTAGAAATGATGATTCAGTTCTTTGGTGATGCAAAGAAAAGAGCAAGCTAAAAATAGCATTTTAAATACTAAAAATAAATAGTGTTCTAAATATAATTTTATTATGTCTATAAATGTATATTTTATTAGAAATCCAGGGTACCTCAGAGAATCAACAGAAGTTCCTATGTAACTTCAAGAAAGTAGGAACAATGGCTGTTTTGAGAATCTCAGATACGGCTTCTGGATTTCTGGAAAGCCGATACAGGGGCTCAGCCCTTCTCTTCTACCACTGTCTTCAACTGCTGGCAGCCTCTGCATGGGCCTGGGCACTGGAGGCAGATTTTGCCACCAACAGGAAGAGGAGGGTGGGTTTCTGTTCCCAACCTCTGGTTAGAGAAATACCAGGCCATGACTTCCTTGATGTACCTTGAGCTACATACATACCAATCCTTTACCCAGGCCAGCACTGTAACTGGTTCAACTGGAGCTGGGTGTGTGCCTCTTGACCAACCATGGGGACTAGGCCAAGCCAGATGCAATGCCACCTCACTTCTAATTAGACCTAGAAGAGGTGAGGTAGAGCAGAATCCAGGGCGGAGGGGCAGTGCTGTCCTAGAAGTCAGGAAGTGTGCTGGGAAGACAAAAATACAGACACTTAAGTGGAAATCAGAGTTAGCTGGGAAAACATTTACCAAAGTGACTCCTGCCCTCTCTTCCCTGCTGTGATAAAGTGAGAGGAGAATTTGTAGTTTTGAAGAAGCTTACCAGGAGTTTATACACTAAGCCTGCCAAATCCTCCTCCTATGATACTTGTTACTTGTACAACAAAAACAAATGTGTCTTTCACTAGAGTAATAATAGGCCTAAAGGTGGTGATAAGAGGAATTGAGAAAATACAGATTCACCAAATCGAAGTTTAATAGAAAATAATATGACATTTTCTGAGCTCTAACTTGAATGGGGTTGTTCTGTGTGTTGAACTGACGCGAAAAGTGGTGTCATTTTTGTTTTGCTTTGTAAACTTGATTTATCCGCAAGCCTACAAACATTCGAACTATGTAAATAGCTCTCTGAGCAGAGAAACACTTCGTGCTCACATGTTCGTGAGAAGGAACTTAGTTTCTTATAACGTGTCACCTTTTTTTTTAATGCCCTTGGGGCTTTTGAGTCACCCTGTAAAGAAGTCTCTCCAGTTAAAATGCCAGGGAGACCAGGCACCTCTGATTTTAAAATGAAACGCTGGAGAGCTATGGAAGAATGACAGCATGCACAGAATCCGGACTCTGATTAGTCCCTGTGCAGAGTGGACAAAACTCGGGCGCCAGCGCGGCCGTCCTGGCTCTGCTTCCATTCTCTGAGCCTGTCACACAGCTGCCCTTGTGCGCCGGTCCTCTGAAGTCAAAGCTTGCCGGCGAGAGCGGCCCTGGCGTGATCGCTGATTGATAGAGCAGCTCTGGTTCCTGATTCGTTTAATACATCCTGTCTGAGCGGCTTTTATTACCGAACGTTACCCACGTTCTGATAACAAGGGGACGCCGTGTCCTCCCCAGTGAACTCACTCCCTGTCCCAGAAATAGGCGCATAGCGTGACTGCCCTCCCCGCCGGGGCTGTAAAACTGGAAGCCAGGCGCCGCCCTCCAGCACCTGCGCCTCCCGCGGGGTGACGGCTGCTCGGAGCACGAAGTGCGTGCGGCCGCGGACCGGCAGGTCACGCAACCCTCGGCTGCCCCGCCGCCTGCGTGCCGGCAGCCCGCCCCGCCCCCGCCGCCTGCTTTTGCTGCTTGCGTGTGCACTCGCGGCTTCCTGGTGGGCCCATAGCCTGCCTCGCGTGCCAGCTCAGCCGCGTAATCCGGCGAGGAATCCCAGATTCCGCCCGGCCCCCCTCGCCCTCCGCCAGCTTTAGCCCGAGCGGGTGATGCCCTCGTCTTAATGCCTAAAAGTTTCCACTTCCGATGTTATGCGGCAAACACCTCGGACTGCGGAAGCAGGGAGAAGGGGGAGGAGGCCGCGGAGTCAGCCTCGCCCCTGCACCCGTCTCCGCCTCAGCAGCCTCGGCAACCTTCCTCCGTCGGACGGGCCGACCGGTGGAGGGGCAGGGCAGGGCAGGGCAGGGGCGGCCCGCCCGGGGCTCGGAGACCCGGGGAGGGGCCCCTGGCGGGCGGCTGACGGCGCCAGCCTCGGACCCCCGCGTTGGAGACCAGTTTCGTGGCCGGGCGAATGACCCCAGCCTGCTGCAGACTTCGGAGGGGCTGGCAGCTGTGCCGGGGCCGCTGAAGCTGAAGAGAGCGCTCAGCGGGCCGGCGCTGTGTAGGTTTCCGTGACTTGTCGGTGCCCCGGGCCTTCGGAATAATGAGAACGGGGACATTGTGACAAGTCAGAAGAGCTGGCAGGGCGCGTCCGCACGGAGGCTCGGGCGCGCCTCACGCTACACCGAGTGCGCCGAGGGGACGCGCGTGTCGTGACGCCCGGCAATGAGCTCAATTTGAACAACCGCAGCATCGGGGCCGGGGAAGGCAGCCAGTCACGCAGCGGCTGCCTGGGCTGACCCCCTCTGACCCCGACTCCGACTTCGGCACAGGGGTGTGGGGAATGCAGCAGTCCCTTCAGAACCGATGGCGTGGGAGCTTCAGAACCATACCGAGGGGTTAGGAACTGGACGAGAAGGTTGGGGGTGGGGGGGACTTGCACAACCTGGGGGGCTGCATTCTGTGAGCAAATCGGCTTTCAAGACCACACTGAAAATCACGTTTTTCAATCAATGGCTTGTAGGTAACTGAAAAAGCAACCGTAACGTGGAACTCTGAAGGTCATTAAAATATGCCTTTAATTTGTATTGCTTCATTTAACAGGCAGTACACACGACTTGCATATGCGTGCATGAAATTTAATTTATGCAGTCAACTCTGGAAGCATGCTTTAGCAAGAGGAATAATTGTGAATTCAGAAAGAGTCAGAGTACAGTCAGATTACTTAAAAGGACTAATGAGCTGAAAAAAAAATCATTCCATGACACGAGGAAGCCATTACATTCTTCTTTTCACGGTCTTGAACATCTTGTACCAACTCAATAATACATGGAGGAAACTAATAATCAAAGAAAATACAAGTATTTAGCTGTGCTAGGCAAACATGAAAAGAGCAATATGTTATAGACAATTAAATAATATCCATAACATGTATTACTGGAATTGGAAGCAGTTTATCATTGAAATCTTTCTATTTCAGCCATTTCCTTAGTATTCCCCTGTAGATGACTCAATGGCAAGTGTCACTGTGAAACAATTAAGATTAGTCAGCATGTGCAGAAAAAACTCTGCTCTGAATGTTTAATTTTTGTGAGTTTTTTTTTTTTTTTCTTTTACAGATTGTAGTATTTGGGATGGAAGTTCAGTAAGAACTTGAGTCTAAGTGCCTCACATTTTGATGCAAACTGCATCAAATTAATTAAATGACTGAAGCAGTGTGTGAGTAAATGGATGTATAGATAGTACTCTGTACTGACTAGAGCTGTGAACAAAAGCATCTCTTGCCAGGCACTCACATGTGATCCTTGGGTGGTAGAACTGACACTACAGCATACCTACCTCAGCAGAGGTGTGAGAAGTGCTAACCCTTATCACAGGTGCCTTGAGATCTTTGGAGGAACATGATCCATTCAACTTTTTCACTACAATTATGACATCCCATACATAAAATTTAAAAAGTATAAAGTAATGTTTAAATACAATGGTGCCATCAAATTTTGTTGTCCATCGTCCATCAAATACTAAAATAGAAGGAGGCTTAGGGACACTTCATCTTTATTTGACAAATATTTCATGATGTGCAATGGAAGTTTCCAATAATCATTGCTATATTAATATACTTAGTAGTAGTATAATTATATGTATGATTAGTAATGTATGATACCACAATAATAGTATAGTATCTAATAATATTTTTGGTGATGGTATTTTGTAAAGAGAGTTGAGACTTCTAGCCTATGAAGTACCTAGAAGGAAATGAATTTATTTGAGAGACAGAGAGTGTCCATCCCGTGGTTCTCTCTCCCAAATGTCTGCAATGGCCAGCCAGAACCAGGGCAGGCCAAAGCTGGGAGCTTGGATTTCTATCCAGGTTTCCCCACATGGGTGGCAGGAACCCAGCTACTTGAACCATCACCACTGCCTCCCAGGGTTCATATTAGCAGGAAGCTGGAATCAGAGCAAGAATCAAAACCAGGTGCTCACATTGGCATCCTAACCAGATGGCTTAACCCCAAGGCAAAATGCTCACCCGCGAGAACTAATTTTTGATGACTCTTGAGGCATCTTGAAGGCGAGGGACCTTCTTGGTGTAATTTTCTGTTGCTGAATGACTGAAAGTCTAGAGGACTATTCTATCAATGTAGCAATAGACTATATGTATCAGGCCTTCTAGGTGCTGGGGACAGAGCAGTGAAGAGAAAAAAAAAAGATTATTAATGTTTAAATGTCTCACATTAAATATACATTGCACACATCTTT